TGTTTGCTTCTCTTCCTAAGGAGAGGTGAAGCTTTGTTAGTCTTTGCAAAGTAGCTTGTGATCCCTTTATGAAAGCTGTGTCCCATGCATCACTAAAACCATAGGAAATCAAGCCAAAAGGGATCTCAAGAAGTCAGTATTTGTTTTTCCTCTTTTATAAAATGTTAATTTTTTTAAGGGTGTTTTTGCAAATTTGTTGAGAAAAGCACTACAGGTACTGAATTACCCAGACAGCAGTCTTTTACTTTTTTCCTCAACAAATGACTTTCCCTGTTGATTGCAAAATGTTTGTGCTCTATTTCTGATGGCAAAGAAGCCCACTCACAGCCTGGACTGCTTGTTCCCGCAGAAGACTGTTGGACATCCATAGGAAAACCACATTTTTTTAGCCCACCTGGTGGCCTGCGCAACTCACGTGTGCTTTAGATAAAGCGGTGGGAGCCCGGTACATATCGGATGGTACAGAGGGTGTGTGGGGGGCTTCTCGGGGTGTCTCCCCAGCCAGTCTTGCTGCAGCACCCCAGTTGCAAATGGGAACAGAAGACATCCTTTTAAGTGCTTTCACAAGGGCTTTCCTAATTATTTTTGTCAAAGCAAACTGCAAATGAAACCTGATTCAGCGGCGTGGGGTCTGATTTCTTTTCTTCTGCTGCCTTTTTTTTTTTTCCATTTAGCGATCACATGTGTAGGCTGAAGTATTTGGAATAGAAAAAGCTTATTTTGACTCTTCCTAATTCTCCTTTTTGGGCTCAAAAAGTGGTGCTGCTGTGAGTGATGTCAAAACGGCTCCTTTGCTTGCTATACAAACCCATACGTGCAGTCTGTTTCTCTTGAAGCACAGGTTTATCTGTGGAGATAATCAAAAGCCTGCATCATCCGCAAAAAATGCCTGTTTCTGATGCCTCCCTCCCTGATTCCTGGGATTTTCAGCAGAGGGACATCCCCTTTAAACCTGTGTTTCTGCTTCATATCTTTTCTCTTTGAAGCCAGGGGGTTGGCTGGCCTTTGAATAGACAAGGATGAGAATATATCAGTGGGAGGTCCATGTCTTGCTCATAAACCTTGGCTGGAAAATCAGCTCCGACAAGTGGGGACAGGTAGCAGCGTCTTTCCCCTTATCAAACAGCGTGGCGGAGCA